ATTTTATCTATCTCTTATCTATTTTATCTATCTATATATATGTCTCTTATCTGTCTATTTTATCTATCTATCTCTTATCTATTTTATCTATCTATCTATCTATCTATCTATCTATCTATCTATCTATCCATCCATCCATCCATCCATCCATCCATCCATCCATCCATCCATCCTCTCCAATTCCCTCACCACTGGGTCTCAGATTCCCTGCCTATTAAATAAATGGCCAGTTAACCCTCATCAGTGATTTTCAGTTTTTCACTCGAGCCCCCCATATTTTGGACGATTGTAGTTTGCTAAACACGCTGACTGAATCAAGTACTATCCAACTTATTTCCTCATTTTAACATGTCAAAGATCCCCTGTGGGGTGAGTGGGGTGTGAATGGAGCCTCCCCAACCCAAAGCAAAGGAACTGGAAGCTTCCGTAGCCCCGCATTTGCTAGAGAATGCTTGCCATGTTTTGGGGACCTCCAAGGGGGCCCCTGTGTTGACCAGAGGCCGGCTCCCAGGGCTGTGGTTTGGGCCCAGCCCCCTGCTCCTGGGGACTGCTGCTTTGGAGGGAGTGACCTTTTGTTCTGCTTTGCCAAGGGGCTTTCTGTTCCTCATTGTTTAGCCATGACAAGGCTGTGGGTTTTTTTTGTTTTTTTTTTTTTTTCTGTCCAAGAGGATAAACAGGCCTAAGATTGCTCAAGGGAGCTGACCCCTTCTGCCAGCTATGGGGGGCTGGGGCCTCACAGAGCCAGGAAGGAAGTCCTGTGCCCTCTTTCAGCTATGGGGGGCTGGAGCCACACAGAGCCAGGGAGGAAGTCCAGGGACGGTCACTCACAGCAAAGCCTCAGACAAGAGAGGAACCTGGAGGGGAGGAGGTGGGAGGTCACCACTCAGCCAGCTGGGGAGCCATGGGAGTCCAGCTGCCTATCGTTAGTGGCCAGAAACCCTTGTCCGTGGCAGCTCTCAAGAGCCCAAACTTGGCCACCGCAGGGCTCTTTCCCATCAGGCCCTTTGAGCCCTGACAGGAAACCCTTCCCCAGCCAGGGTGGGATTTCTTGCTGCTGCCTGGAGCCGCCCTGGCCCTGTGGTTCTCAGGCCCTGAAGGAGTGAGGGGCTCCCCTGGTTACCCCAAGGACACTCGTGGGGATGAAGCCCGCGGGATGCAGGATTCCCACGAGACCTGTGCTGGCCACTGTGCGGGGTAGGGGGCTGCCAGGGAAGAGGTGCAGCCCCTCCATGCCTGGGGGATGTGATCTGAGGGAAGAGGCAGCTGCGTCTGGGAGGCCATTCAGTCAGAGGGCGGAGGCATAGCCCCTGCCCTTGGGGAAGTGCCTAGCAGCGGCCTTCAGGGAAGGCAGTTTGGGGGTTTGCTGAGGGCCAGGCAGACCCTCCGCCACAGTTAGTATTCGATGGAATGGCTTGTGCAGAGGGAGCTGCAGAAGCTGCCATTTCTCTGGGTTAGGGGCTCCCAGAGCCTTTGGATGCCGGGTCTCAGCCATGAGCCCCTCCGCCACCCCTCCCCCAGGTCACCTTGCTCAATCCGGGGGTCACATAATCAGAGCGTATTCTGCAAAGGAATGTGAGAATCACCGGGGAGATTTCCTTTTCCTTTTTCTTTTTTTTAACGGTACAGTTTCCTGGGCCCACCCCTGAGATTCTGCACTTGTTTGGGGAGTGGGGTTGGCATTCATGACAGGCACCCCTGGGTGCTTTGGACACAGGCAGTGAGCTCCCCCATACACGGTGGGAACACCTGAGAAGGCTTCTCCTTTTGTCTCAGGTGCCTGGGAGTCTCCTCCAGCAGCAAACCAGGTGGGGAGGAGTCCTGGGACCGAGTGTGTATGGCAGCACCGTGCCCAGGCAAACTGAGGCTCCAGATGGGGGCTGAAGTTACTTCTTCAGACCCCATTATGCAGCATGGTTCCCACTGCCCGTGCCCAGAATTCACCAGAGCTGATGGGCCTGGAGTGGACCTCCGGGGCAGGCCAGGGTGGAAAGTGCATCTGTGTTTGAGCTTTGCGGCCCTGGCACTGGAGTTAGATCCCTCCTGAAAAGGACATTGTAACCCAGCCCACAGTTTGGACTAGCAGCTGCTGAGCACCTACCCCCTGCTAGGCTATGGGGCAACAGCAAAGGGTAACCCCCAGCCTGCAGCCTCAGGGGGCCTTCCCATCTAGCGGGGGGCGCAGGTGGGTAACCTCACAGCAGTGCTGTCAGCCGAGAGCCGTGAGGGAGGAAGGTGGGGACTCTGGGCCTCAGTGACTCATTCAGGGTGGGGTGCAGGCAGGAAGCCTTCAGGAGGGAGGCTGCTGCCTGAGCAGGGCTCCTAAGGGACACATGGAATTTGTTATAGGAAGCACCAGGCCATTCCAGAAGTCAGCTGGGGCAAAGGCCTGGGGGTCAGAAGAATGGCAAATTGCTCCGCAGCAGGAAGCCCCAGCTCCTCGGGGTTGTTCCCGCTGAGGGGTTCCAGCTGTTGGCACCGAGGGGTGCAGCCAGGGTAGGCTGGCGCTGCCTGCCAGGCCAGGGTGGGAGACAGCTGGGTTTCTAGGCCTGCTTGTCACTCGCTACAGGTGCAGCCAAGGGCTCAGCAGCCCCTGGCTCCGGGCGGTCCTGACTCCCAGGCAGTGCTGTGAGGAAGGGGAGGAGGAGGCACACTGAATCCACCTGCCACCTTGGCTGGTAGACATTTGGCCAGGTCTGCACTGGCCCAGTGGTGCTGGGTGTCCTGGCTGCTGTCTGCTCTGACTGGCTTACTGACAGCTGAAGTCCAGGATAGGTCTGTGCCCACGTTGTGCTGGTTTGTGAAATATATTTAGTATCTCCTCTGCTCCTATATGTTAGTTACTGGAGTCCAGAGAGGTTAAGGCACTTGCCTAAGGCCACACAGCCGCTAAGTGGTGGAGTGAGGATTTGAAACCAGTTCTTTCTGACTCCCTGTATCCTTATCTATGGAGAGGCCCCATCACTCGTTCACTAAAGGTTATGGATCTCGATCTTGTACTGGCCACATGACTGCCGCTGGCAATACAGTGGGGAAGGCGCCAGCCCTGGCTCTCACCTCCTAGAACTGCCCTTTGGTCACTTCCAGGGGACGCATCTGTGGGGGCCCCTGAAGGACTTGGGGCGCGTGTGTACACCCTCTGTGCTTGTACAGATGTGTTCACACCCACGTTTGCCTACACGTGACTGTCTCCATTCTGAGCTCGCTCTCAGCCTGGCAGAGGTAGCTAATGAATGCTTGTCCCTGAAAACCCGGACTGCCAACCTCAGTCTTTCAGGAGAGAGGGCAGCACTCAGGGGCTTGCTCCCAGGGGTCCTGGGAAGGCACAGTGGTGACAGTGCCGCAGCTCTGCACTCCTGGAGGGTCACTCAGAGACCCGAGGGAGGAGGGCTCTGCGTCTGCCCCTCTGTCCAGGGCTGCAGCTTCTCTGGGTGGCTTTGCTTTTCTCTTTTCTCCCCTCTTTTTTTTTGAGGTGGAGTTTCACTTTGTCAACTAGCCTCAGCCTCCTGAGGAGCTGGGATTACAGGCACGCGCCACCACGCTGGGATAATTTTGTATTTTTAGTAGAGACAGGGTTTTGCCATGTTGACCAGGCTGGTCGCGAACTCCTGACCTCAAGTGATCCGCGTGCTTCGGCCTCACACCCAGCCCCCTCTCTTTTTCCATTCATAACACATTGTTCATCTCTTCCTGGAGGCATCCAGCTCAGTGGTTGAGATTGTGAACTGTGAAGTCAGATGGGACCCAGGTCCAAACCCTTCTGTGTCACTTAGTGGGTCTGGGACCTTGGGCAGGTGACCTGTCCTCTCAGGCCTCGGTTTCCTGTTCTATAACATGGCTGCAGTAGGGAAACTGTCTCCGTCTTCACTGGGTGGCTGGGAAGTCTTGCTGAGACCACACACCTGTCTCAGGTAGGGTCTTCTAGAAGCAGAGCTTGAGGCAGGGAGCTTTGTGAAAGTGATTTACTAGGGAGGGCAGGAGAAGCAGGCAGGACAGGGCAGGGGAGGGGGCCTAGCAGGGACGTATTCACCAGCTTCAGCCCGACACCATGGAGGTGGCTCTGGACCATGAATTGTACCAGGGTGGGTCCCACCTTGAGGCTGTGGGGCATTCATTATCAGCCAACACCCACGGCAGCTGGGGGAGAGGTGCCCTGCTGGCAGCAGGGGTCTGAGTGGGGTACAACAGCACCCACCAACTCCAGTAGTGGAAACGCTTAGAACAGTGCCTGGTACCTAGGCGGTACTTCAGAAATGGCAACGATTGTCATGGTCATCAACCAACATTCGGCTGATGAGTACTGGCTCTGCGGTGGGTCCCATGTGAGAGACTGAGGGTCTAGAGATGACAAGGCTGCCACTTCTGCTGTCTGCATCACATGAGTGTGTGTGTGTACACAGGTGTGGGCATACGTACCCACAGTGGGCGGAAGGACAAGCAAGTAACCGTTCCAGAACAATGAGATGACTGTTAGAGGGGTCATATTCCATGTTTAGAGAGAGCCCGGAGGAGGAGGAGGAGCTTGAATTAACCTCTGGGAGTCAGGAAGGGCTTCTCGGAGGAGGCAGCACGCATCTTGAAAGACCAAGGGATGTTTCCAGTGCGGGAGGGAAGGAGAGGTATCCTTGGTGGAGGGCAGCTTTGTGCTGAGAACCCTGGTTCTCTGTGACCAAGGCCACCATCTTCTGGATATCTGTCCCAGGTAGAGTTAGGGGTCACCCAGCTCTGGAGAAGGCCTAAAGGCAGCCCTGCCCTCTGGCCAGCAGACTCCATGCTTCTGCCTGCAGACAGTAGGATACACCGAGGTGGGGAGGCAGGAGAGGTAAAAGAAGGCACCAGCTCCCCTTCCTGTACCCTGCTCCAGGGGGAGGAACTTCCCCATCCATCATCAGTGCCGCCCGGCAGGGGGAGGGCCAAACATTTGCAGGGTGGAGACCTGGGCATCAGGCATGGCAGAACCCAGGGCGGCCCTGTTGATGGCAGTTTTCCCTTCTTCCTTCCAGGTGGCATTTACACCTTACGCCCCGGAGCCCGGGGGCACATGCCGGCTCAGAGAATACTATGACCAGACAGCTCAGATGTGCTGCAGCAAGTGTCCGCCGGGTGAGGGCAGCCGCGGGGGCTCGGGACCCATGCCCTGGGGGACCGTGTGTGTGCAGGGGCTGGGGCGCAGGGGCATGGCCCTTGATTCTTACTGAACTCCTGGTTCTGTGCACCGGCCCATGCTCCCTGTTGCTTCTGGGCCTGTGAACATGCTGTTCCTTCTTCCTGCCACACTTCCCAACTCCCTTTCCCTGATTAACTCTGACTTGCCCTTTAGACCTCAGCTGAAGATATCCCCTCTTCCAGGAAGCCTGTCTGCCCCACACTGCCCAGCCGGAGGAGGAGGGGGAGGAGGAGCCTAAATTAGCTCCTGGGAGAGTCAGGGAGGGCTGCCTGGAGGAGGCAGCGCTCAGCTTGAAAGACAAGTGCTGCTTCCTTTGAGCTCTCACTGGCCCCTGATGTTCCCATGGCAGCTCTTTCCTCGCTGTGTGATTAGAGCCCGATCCCTCTTCTTGTTGCTTCTACTGTGTGCTCCTCCAAGGCAGGGACTGGGGCTTGTTTTCTGCTGAATCCCCAGCACATGGCACAATGCCATGTAGGCACTCAGTGCATATTTGACTGACTCTGTGAATGCTTACCCATTTCACAGATGGTAGACCTGAGGCCCAGCCACAGTTGGTGGAGCCAGGTAGCCTGACTCCCCGTGCCCTCCATCTATTCATTTGTGTCTGTATTCATTCATGTCATGTTTATAAGGTATCTGCTCTGTGTTCTAAGTGCTGCGAATACACAGAGAGCAGGGCAGACAAAATCCTTGCCCTCGTGGAGTCTGCATTTTAATGTGATGCAGACAGATAAATGAGGAGATGTGTGGTCCTGTCTAAGTGCTGTAGAAAGACAAGGTCAGGTAGGCTGGGGGAGACAGAGCAGGACATCCTGTTCTACACAGGGTGGTCTGGGAAGGTCTCTCTGCGGAGGTGACATTTGGGCAGAGGCCTGCAGGAGGTGAGGGAGCAGGTCATGCACGTGTACAGGGAACAGTGTACCAGGAGGAAGCAACAGCATGTGCGAAGGCTTGAAGTCAGAGCCTGTTTGGTGAGCTGGAGAAATAGCAAGGCCAGCGTGTGTGGCCCAGGATGAGCGAAGGCAAGTACGGTTGGGGAGGAGGAGGAAGGAGTGAGCAGGGACCATGGTAAGGAGTTTAGATTTTATTCTGTCTGGGAGCCAATGGAGGGCTTTGAGCTGTTACCTTGAGATGTAGGTGGCATATAAGTACCTGTCACCATCCCTAGCCATTTTAAGACACCCCAGGGAAAGTGACTCTCTTCTTTCTTTTATTAACTGGAAGGATCTCTTTAAGAAGTTACTAGAGAGGCCGAGGTGTGTGGATCACCTGAGGCTAGGAATTTAAGACCAGCTTGGCCAACATGGTGAAACCCCGTCTCTACTAAAAATACAAAAAATAGCTGGGCATAGTGGCAGGCGCCAGTAATCTCAGCTACTTGGGAGGCCAAGGCAGGAGAATTGCTTGAACCTGAGAGGCAGAGGTTGCAGTGAGCCGAGATTATGCCACTGCACTCTAGCGTGGGCCACAGAGCGAGATTCTGTCTCAAAAAAAAGTTACCGAGTCAACCTTTTTTTAAAGGTTTCCATCGGTGTTCCCCATCCCTGGCATACCTGCTCTCCAGGCCCATGCCCTTGTCCTTGATAGGATACCAGGGACTACATTCTTACTACCTGTTCCCTCTGTCATTCATGCCCCTAGCTGGAGAATGTTAGCCATCTATCAAGAAGGAAGAAACTGGCAAGCTAGTTCTTACTAAAGTGTGATTGACTGATAATAGGTCTCCAGAGGTGGAGGTTCAAGCATCTGGACAGAGCAGAGAGGAATCTATTTTTGAGCAGAAGGGGTTCAGAAATGGCGTGATAGCTGGTACAATACTAGATGGGAGATGATTCTGAGGAATTGGAACTCCACAGAATAGCCTTCCCGCCTGGGCTTTAGAACTCTGGACTTTGTGGGGACAGTGGATGAGCCCAAGGTCCTGGCAGAAGCCCCGCCGGGCTGAGACCTCTGGCCCTTGCTTCCTCAGGCCAACATGCAAAAGTTTTCTGTACCAAGACCTCAGACACCGTGTGTGACTCCTGTGAGGACAGCACATACACCCAGCTCTGGAACTGGGTTCCCGAGTGCTTGAGCTGCGGCTCCCGCTGTAGCTCTGGTGAGTAGGTTCAGAGAAAGGGGGGGCCCTCACACCCCTGCCTCCAACATCCCCCCGGCTATGCCAGCCTCTTTGGCTTCCAGCTGTCTGGAGTTACCCCAGGCTGGTTGTTGGAAGTGGCACAGGTGCAACTGTTTACCCTTACCACTGGCGTTTTCCTCCTCTGTCTCACCAAAGCCTCTTCACAGCCCCACGGGGCAGGCGGTGGGAGAACTGTGCCCACGTGAGGGTTGAGGAGGTGGTGCGTGGGAGAGTGGCGCGCATGCTTTTGGCTTCCAGCTGTCTGCTGAGTGTTACCTCTAGGCTACATATGGTAGTGAGAATTGTTACCTTTACGATTGGATGCTTCTTCTCGCAGTATTCTACTGAAGTTTTTTCACAGTTCTTCAATGGGTAGGCGGGGAGAACTTCAGTCAGATGGAGGGTTAGAGGGAGGTGGTGCGGGAGCATGGACGCTGTGCTGCGAGGAGCAGGACTGCTGGAAGAGGAAATCGCCGGAGGACGGGATCATGGGGAGGAGCGGGATTGGTGGGGAGGGAGCGATTTGGCGGGGAGAGGAGCGGATCGCGGGACTGCGGGGGAGGAGCGGGACTGCAGGGAGCAGCGGGACTGCAGGTCCTGCTCAGGGACTCTACCCAGTGTTGTGTGTACCCCATGCTGAGGCGGTCCATCAGCCTCCTGGAGATCAGAGCTGTCTGGGAGTACTGGGCTGGCTGGGAGGGCAGCGTGGGTGTGGCGGAGTCAGGCGTGACCGTGTGCTGCCCTCTCGCTGCTCTAGACCAGGTGGAAACTCAAGCCTGTACTCGGGAACAGAACCGCATCTGCACCTGCAGGCCCGGCTGGTACTGCGCGCTGACCAAGCAGGAGGGGTGCCGGCTGTGCGCGCCGCTGCGCAAGTGCCGCCCGGGCTTCGGCGTAGCCAGACCAGGTATGGGGTGGGGCTCAGGTCCTTGGGGATGCCCTTGGGCCTCTCGTTTGTAGACATCCCTGCAGTGTCACGGGCATCAACCCATTAAGTAGTCCAGCTGGGAACACCGTTAGTGGTGGCCAGGTGCTTGCTACCCATCCATCTGTCCACCTGTCCACCTTTTATTCTTCCTGCCAGCACTCCTTATTAGGCACGTCTTATGTACTGGAACCAGAGGACCCAGAGATGGATCAGACCGAGCCCTAAGCTAGGAAAGTTATGTGATGGTACAAGAAGATGAACTCACATAACTACAGCCCAATTGTGTGCATGTGTGTACAGGCATCTGTGTGTGTATGTGTGTGTTTAAGGGATGGAGGTACAGACAGAGGTTCTTGGGCTCCTCAGACTACTCCTAGGGATCTAGTGCCAAGGCCCAGCTGTTCCGCAGAATGTTTGAGTGGTTGACAAGTTCGGATTGTTCCCTGAAGGAACCGAAACATCTGACGTGGTGTGCAAGCCTTGCGCCCCGGGGACATTCTCCAACACGACTTCATCCACGGATATTTGCAGGCCCCACCAGATGTGAGTAGCTGAGTCCTTTGGTTCTGGAGGAGCAGGGAGGGGCTGTCCCTGGGTGACTGTGGGTCCAGGACACAGAGTAGCTCACCAGCCACCATTGTCCAGATTGTTTTATCTGAGGGTAGGTCCCAGGATAAATAGCATGGTGGGCAGGACCTTGCCCTGGAAGGCAGGACTGGGTGGGTGCACGGGGAGGTGGGGGAGGTACAGGATGGGGTGGTCCTCAGAGAGGGCACACGTCGTCACTCTCCTATCCTGCCTGCTGGGACCCGTGAATGATCCCAACCACCGCAGCCACTCCGTCCTCTGCTGCCTACTGACCAAGCGTCCTCCTCCTCCAGCTGTAACGTGGTGGCCGTCCCTGGGAATGCAAGCATGGATGCAGTCTGCACGTCCACGTCCCCCACCCGGAGCATGGTCCCAGGGCCAGTACACTTACCCCAGCCAGTGTCCACACGATCCCAGCACACGCAGCCAACTCCAGCACCCAGCACCGCTCCGGGCACCTCCTTCCTGCTCCCGGTGGGCCCCAGCCCCCCAGCTGAAGGGAGCACTGGCGACATCGTTCTTCCAGTTGGTAAGTCACAAGAAGGCTCATTCATTCACTCCTTCTGTCTGCCTGTCTTTCTGTCTGTCTTTCTCCCGCTCCCATAGTTTTACTGAGAGCCCACGGTGGGCCGGACCCTGTGCCCCGTCCTGGGATACAGGTGGCAGTGGGACTGCTTTCTCCCCACACCTGGTGCTATCAATCAAAAGCCCTAAGTGGGTGGGCCGGATGCAGTGGCTCTCGCCTGTAATCCCAGTGCTTCGGGAGGCCAAGGAGGCAGGAGGATTGCTTGACTAAGAGTTCGAGATCAGCCTGGGTAACATAGTGAGACTCCATCTCTATAAACAAATTAAAAAATTAGTTGGGTGGGATGGTGCCTGTTGTCCCAGCTACTCAGGAGGCTGAGGTGGGAGGATCACATGAGGCCTGGAATTTGAGGCTGCATTGAGCTATGATCATGCCACTGCACTCCAGCCTGGGCGATGAGTGAGGCCCTATCTCAAAACAAAACAAAATCCCTGGATAGGGGAGAGATGGCGTCAGCAATTCACCTGAATATGCAGATGGTCTCCTTGCTGCTGTTTCTGATGAGCCCATTAGGCTGAGAAGACAGTGGGCTGGGCCAGATCACCTCCGGGGCTTCCATTCTGGGGCTAGAACTGCTTCAGGCCAGAGGTCTCAAACTGGTGGCCCTGAGGCTGAATGAGGCCCACAGACGTGATTGCTTTATAATTGGATTTGAGAACCTCCGGCCTAGACTCGCCCCTCACTTGCAATGACCTGAAGCACCTTGGGTCCCTGGCTTGCCTGGCTGGCCCCTGGTACATTTGAGTTTGTTTTCTGTGGCTGTCTGAGCTTCTCTTTTCTTTCTAGGACTAATTGTGGGCGTGACAGCCTTGGGTCTACTAATAATAGGAGTGGTGAACTGTGTCATCATGACCCAGTTGAAAAGTAAGAGTCTGTCCTTCCTTTCTTCATCCACTTGTTCAGGAAGCTTTTGAGGGGTGCCTCCTGTGAGTCCAGCACCGCGCACAGCCTTAGGGGTCAGACAGAACTGGCTATGGGGGTCCTTGTTCTGTAGGAGCTTAGGACCCGGAGTGGAAGGCACCTCTGCTAACTTAATTACTAAAAGGCAAGAGGTGATCAGGGTTTTCCAAAGGGTAGGAGTTCAGGATTCCTATCCAGGAAGCCTGGGGGATTCGGGATTCCTATCCAGGAAGCCTGGGGGATTCGGGGGAAGCCTGGGGATCTGGATTCCTATCCAGGAAGCCTGGGGGATTCGGGATTCCTATCCAGGAAGCCTGGGGGATTCGGGCTTCCTGCAGCAGCTGGTCTCTGAGGTGGGTAAGATCTCGATGGGCGGAGTCTGTGCAGGGAAGGACGCGCATCCTCAGTGGAGGCGTGGATGGCACAGATGGGGGACTGGAGAATGGTTGGGGTGGTGGCAGGTAGAGTTGGGTGGGGCTTCTGTGGACCTTGTCTGGTAGGCAATTGCTCCCTGCAGGCTGCGCCTCTCTGCTGTTTCTATTGGGCCCCACACTGCCCTCCTACTTAGGATGGATGTGCCTGAGGAAGTCACTCTCCCTTACTTGTCCCCTCTCTTCTTTATAGAGAAGCCCTTGTGCCTGCAGAGAGAAGCCAAGGTGGTGAGTGTCTCCACTGCCCTCTCCCCCTCTTCCCTGGGTCTCCTTCCTGGCGGGCTGGGCTGTCACAGAGGAAGCAGTGAATTCTGTCGTCATCTGTCCAGTGTCAGGAGGTGTGCAGAGCTCTGGGAGGTGGAGGAAAGGCCGGGGAGTCAGGCAGCCCTCCATGGGCTAACCGAGGCTGTGAGTGTGAAATGTCCCGGCAGAGAACAGAGGCCTTCGTGGCGTTCATGGCAGGCACGTGGTCGTGGACCCACAGCGCAACCTTGGGCAGATGTGAAATTTCTCTCTGGCTACTTCCTTACCATGAAATGGGGGTTGTGTCTGCTGGATCCAGCTTGCAGGGTGGTGCCATTTGGTCAGCTGACAGTGATGTTTCTCATTGCCTCCATTGTGTTTACAGAGCGCTTTCTCAGAGGGCAGTGGTTTTCTTTTTCTTTTTCTTTTTTTTTTTTTTTTTGAGGCGGAGTCTCGCTCTGTCACTCAGGCAGGAGCGCAGTGGTGAGATCTCCGCTCACTGCAAGCTCCACCTCCTGGGCTCACGCCATTCTCCTGTCTCGCCTCCCAAGTAGCTGAGACTACAGGCACCCGCCACCTTGCCCAGCTAATTTTTTTGTATTTTTAGTACAGACGGGGTTTCACCATGTTCGCCAGGATGGTCTCGATCTCCTGACCTCGTGGTCCACCCGCCTCAGCCTCCAAAGTGCTGGGATTACAGGCGTGAGCCACCGCACCCGGCCCTAGAGAGCAGTGGTTTTCAGACTGAATTCTGGGGTAGCCTGGTGTCCCACAGAGGGCCCTTGGGCGTGGGGGAAGTGGTCATCTCTCGGGTTTGAGGTAGAGGTTGGGGGGCTGGGCCCTGGGTCCTCCCAAAGCAACTCACCTTTGATCTGTTTTATAAAGTAGGGCCTGTGAAGGCTTTCTGTTAGTGACAGACCAACAGTGTCATATCATAGTATTTCATTCATTCTCTATCAGGAAGGTGTTTGGCTGCAAGTAACCCCAAACCTACAGGTGACTTTAGAAAAAAGGGCTTTATTTTTCTTGCATTGTAAGAAGTCAAAGGGTTAGTGTCTGCTGGAATGGCCTGCACTGTCCCCTTGCATGGTGCCAGCAGGACCCCAGGCTCTGTCATCTTTAGTGTGTTGACTCTTGTTCTCTTGTTTGTGGCCTCATGTCATAAGATGGTGATCATCACTTCATATGTCACCTCTAAGTTTGAGGTGGGAAGAAGGGGCAGGTGGCCAGGCCAGCCATGACACCCTTATCAGTAAATCAGACACCTTCCCAGAAGCCCTGGGTAGACTTCTTTCATCTCACTGACCAGACTGTGTCACATGAGCACCCATAGCTGCAAGGGAAGCTGGGGAAGAGGGTGCTTTGCTTTTCCAGTCTCTATGGAGGAGGAGGACAAGGGAGGGGGGTCGGAAGTGGGTATGGGGTGAGCCAGAACGTGGGTCTGTCACAGCCTTGCACCTGGTAGACAGGGCAGGTTTTTTACCCAATTTAACAGATGAGAAAACAGAGTCCGATGAGTTTTCTCGACCTCAGGGGCAGGTAGAGAAAGAGTTTCTCAACCTCATGGACATTTGAGACAACATCTTACTTAAGGGAGGCCAAGGTGGGAGGATTGCTTGAGTCCAGGAGTTCAAGACCAGCCTGGGAAACACAGTGAGACCCTATCCCTAAACAACGTAAAATAAAATAAATATTTTTTAAAAAGATCTTGGCTGGGCATGGTGACTCATGCCTGTAATCCCAGCACTTTGGGAGGCCGAGGTGGATGGATCACTTGAGGTCAGGGGTTCAAGACCAGTCTGGCCACCATGGTAAAACCCCATCTCTACTAAAAACACAAAAATCAGTCGGGCGTGGTGGTGTGTGCCTGTAGTCTCAGCTACTTGGGAGGCTGAGGCAGGAGAGTCCGTTAAACCTGGGAGGCGAAGGTTGCAATGAGTTGAGATCATGCCATTGCCCTCAAGCCTGGGCAATAGAGCAAGACTCTATCTCAAAAAAAAAAAAAATTAAATTAAAATAAATAAAATATCTTATTTGTGGGGGCTGTCCCGTGCTACTCAGCAGCATCTTTGGCCTTTGTTTACTTACATGCCAGCCACATTCCCACTCCGGTGGTGACAACCAAAAATTCTCCAGACATTGCCAAGTGTCCCCTGGGGGCCCAAAACACCCCCAGTGGAGAACTACTGCTGGAGGGAACAGCTCAGCCCTGGGGCGCCCAATACCTGAAGTTTACACCAGGTGTTCGGAATCAGATAGACTGATTTCATCCCCTGATTTTGGTGACAAGAAAAGAGATAGGGCAGGGAGGAAAACTGAGTTACTCAAGGTCACACTGCAATGTGTCGTCTCTGGACTCCCATCTCAGTGCTCTTTGCCCTGCCCTACAGTATTTCAGTGGGGAGGAAACTTTCTCATTCCCCGGCGAGTGAGTTTCACTGCTCCTTTTCTCCAGCTTCAATTCAGTGACACTGATGGTTGCCACCTGGTGGCATGTGTAGAGCAGGTGTCTCCCCCAAGCTCTTCCATAGCAGCCCAGCTGTCGCCTTCCCTTTCCTCACCAAGCATTTCCCAATCCTCTGTGCCCTGAAGATGTCCTGGGTGTGGCCCAGCAGCTTCTGCTTCCCTTTTCCTTTTCTTTTCATTTCGTTTCGTTTCTCTTCTCTTCTCTTCTCTTCTTTCTTTTCTTTTCTTTCTTTCCTTTTCTTTCTTTCTTTTTTGTTTCTTTTTTTCAGCTATGTCGCCCAGGCTGGAGTGCAGTGGCACCCTCTTGGCTCACTGCAGCCTCTGCCTCCTGGGTTCGAGTGGTCATCCCACCTCAGCCTCCTGAGTAGCTGGGACTACGGGTGTGCACCACCACACCTGGCTAATTTTTATATTTTTAGTAGAGACAGGGTTTTGCCATGTTGGCCAGGCTGGTCTTGAACTCCTGAAATCAAGTGATCTGTGCACTTTGGTCTCCCAAAGTGCTGGGCTGATAGGTGTGAGCCACTACACTTGGCCCCTTTCCTTTCACTGTTGCTTTCAGTGTTCACTGAATGTGAGTGACTCAAGTATTTGTTGAGTACCCCAGTGGTGTGTCTAGCAGGGGAAAAAAACCCCAAACCCTGATTTGTGATGTTTGCTAATTCCTGTGGTATAAACACTCCCACTGTAGCCAATTTCAAACTCCCAAGACCTTCTTGAATATGGAGTTGGGAAGAAATCTGCACAGGCCTGAGCTTGTCCCAGCACAGCCCGGGCTGAGCCCTGCCAGGCTTTTTGTGACTGAGTCCCCACACATCCCTGTGGGGCAGGGAGCATCATCAGCCCCATTTTACAGAGGAGGAAACTGAGACTCAGGGAAGTTCCATTTCTCCTGTAGGATTAGATCATTAGCTGAGTGGCATAGCTCAGGTTGCAATCAGGTTTATGGCCGTGTCCCACGCTACTCCTCAACCAGCAGCTACTCCTGCTAAGAGGCCAGTGGAGAGTCCTCTTGAGCTGGGCTGCTGGGCTTAGAGTGTAGACTCAGCACCCACCTGCTCCTCCTACCACAGAAAGAACGCCCAGGGCATGGGAGACATTGGCGTCCCTTTGTTTAGAAAACAACAACTTGTGGCCGGGCGCGGTGTCTCACGCCTGTAATCCCAGCACTTTGGGAGGCCGAGGCGGGCAGATCACAAGGTTGGGAGATCGAGACCATCCTGGCTGACACGGTGAAACCCCATCTCTACTAAAAATACAAAAAGTTAGCCAGACATGGTGGCAGGCGTCTGTAGTCCCAGCTACTTGGGAGGCTAAGGCAGGAGAATGTCGTGAACCTGGGAGGTGGAACTTGCAGTGAGCCGAGATCGCGCCACTGCACTCCAGCCTGGACAACAGAGCGAGACTCCATCTTAAAAACAAAACAAAGCAAAACAAAACACCAACATGTGAGCTTACCCACAATCACCCCCACGGACACACTCATGCACGGGCCCATATCTGATAACAGGCACGAACATTTATCAGGTGTTGAATGGATGCCAGGCACTGTGCCCAGCGTTCTTTATTCTCACAGCCATGCTGCCACACGCAGGCAGTATGATTCTTGCCCCCCATTATATGGCCCAGGAATTGTGGGCCCAGAGAAGTTAGTAACTTTCCCAGTGTGGCGTAGCTAATGAGAGCAGCCTGGAACACAAACCTAGGAGTGTCTGTCCTCGCCGCTCCAGCACACACACTCACTACCTCACTCACAGATATGCACACATGCCCCCAACATAGACACACATGTGCACGCTTCACACCCTCATGCCTGTAGATACAGGTGTGTGAGCCTTGTGAACACACAAACAGACGGACCCAGCAGGAACCTGGAGGACCTGGCCTTTGGCTCTGCTGGGTCTCTGCTTCTGCCCAGCGGGGCTGGGCCGGGAGGGGCTGGGAGCTGAGGGTGCTGGCTGACTGGCTGGCTGGTTGGGATCCTGTGTGTGTGTGTGTTTTCTTTTTTTTTTTTTTGAGACAGATTCTCCCTCTGTCGCCCAGACTGGAGTGCAGTGGCGCAATCTTGGCTCACTGCAAGCTCCGCCTCCCCGGCTCACGCCATTCTCCTGCCTCAGCCTCCCTAGTAGCTGGGACTACAGGCACGCACCACCTCGCTCAGCTAATTTTTTTTTTATTTTTAGTAGAGACGGGGTTTCACCGTGGTAGCCAGGATGGTCTCGATCTCCTGACCTCGTGATTCGCCTGCCTCAGCCTCCCAAAGTGCTGGGATTACAGGCGTGAGCCACCGCGCCCGGCCCCGGGATCCCATGTTTTGAATGAGGCTCCTCAGTACTCGGTCCTACTGGGCTCCCAGCCCAAGGAACAGGACTCAGCCTGCTTCTGCACCACCTGGGGCTGCTTGAACTTTGCGACTTGTGGCTTGGGAGGAGGGAGGTAGCCATGACCTTTGGGGGTTTTTGTTCTGCGTGGCTGTAGCCGCCAGCAGAGGGGGTGGGGCACAGGCCAGAAAAACCCCTTCTGTGGGGTTTTGTGAGGAGTGGCACTCGATTGCTTCTCCTCCCCTTCCAGGCTCAGAGCAGGGCTGGGGGGTGGTCGTGGGCAGTAACCAGCGTCAGACCACCTGGGCGGAGGTTCAGCATGAACTTGCAATGCGCTCCGTCTCTCCAAAACTGGGGGACCCAGCCCAGGGAGGGTGCGGGGGTTCCTGGGGCAGCTGGTCTGGGCTTGTCCTGCTCCTGCCACGGGCCAGCTGTGTGATGCTGAGCACAGCACGCACTCTCTCTGGGCCTCCGTGGCCTCTTGGGGACGGCTTGCACAGGATCCCTCCGGTCCTGAGTGAGAGGCTGTGGGCTGGCCTCGGGGAATTGAGGGTGCAGGTGGTGCTCAGGTGTCTGAGAAGCCATGGGAGCCGGGGGCTGCAGTGACTGGACAGAGAGGACCCCGGTACTCGCAGCTATTCTCAGACCACATCTGGAATTGTAGCTCCCTCTGGAGGGAGGCAGGAGGTCTCAGCCTTTCCTGGCGGGGCTGTGGCACCTGTGCTGCTCACTCCACCCCTGCGCTCGCCTCCCGCTGCAGTGCTGGCGAGCTCCATCAGCCCTTCACTCATCTCTGCCCTCCTTCTGCCCGGGACCCTTGTTTTCATCCTAGGCAGGCCGGGGGCCAGGGCAGCTGTTAGGAACGTGGCCCCTGCCATCTCTTTTTTTCTGCGATCAGCAGTTGCCCAGAACTCCAAGGCAAGGGCGTGAGTGCTGGCCAGTCAGTGGGAACAGACAGCAGCCTGGGAGAGGAATTTCCTGCCTTACTCCAGTGTGGGTTTCTGGAAATGGGGACCTTGCCTTGAGCCTCCAGAGCTGAAACCCCAGACACCCAGGGAAGGCACTATGGGATTTAGCCCAGCCATAGTATGTCCTAACCGTGACCTTGGGCAGGTAACTCAACCTCTCTCTGCTTCAGTTTCCACAAAGCAAGGATAACACTGGGCTGTTGGAAGAATCAATATAGATAGTGTCGGGAGGGACTTAGGTAGAGTGCATGGCATTGGGTGGCACTCAAATGTCAGCTAATATTATTATTATTATTACTCTATGGAAAGAAGACACCAGGGGAAGTTGCAGAGCAGCCTGTGGGCGGACTCTGGAACAAGAGGCCGAGGCAGTGCAGCAGAGGGTCTCAGATGTGAGCGCTCTCTGCCCCGGAGTGCTCGATTGAGCACGAGGGTCTGCACTTTTTCTCCGTAAAGGACCAGATGGTAGGAATTTCAGGCTTTGTGGACTGTATGGTCTCAGTGACAGCGACTCAAACCTGCCTCTGTGACAGGAAAGCAGCTACCTGCATAGACAGCACACACCCCACTGAGAGTGCTGTATTCTGATCTAATTGTGCTACTGGATACCCAAACTTGAACTTCTTGAACTTCCCATCATTCCATGTGTCGCAAATTATTCTCTTTTTGTGAGATGGAGTTTCATTCTTGTTGCCCAGCCTGGAGTGCAATGGCTCAATCTTGCCTCACCACAACCTCTGCCTCCCAGGTTCAAGCAATTCTCCTGCCTCAGCCTCCTGAGTAGCTGGGATTACAGGCATGTGCCACCATGCCAGCTAATTTTGTATTTTTAGTAGAGATGGGGTTTCGCCATGTTGGTCAGGCTGGTCTCCAACTCCTGACCTCAGGTGATCTGCCTGCCTCGGCCTCCCAAAGTGCTGCGATTACAGGCGTGAGCCACCACGCCTGGCCACAAATTATTCTTAAACATTTTTTTCCAACCATTTAAAACATGAAAACCACTGGGGTGTGGTGGTGCACACCTGTTATCCCAGCACTTGGGGAGGCCAAGGTAGGAGGTTGGCTTGAGCCCGGGAGTATAAGACCAGCCTGGGCAACATAGCACAACCCTGTCTCTACAAACAATCGACAACAAAAAAATTAGCCAGGGGAAGTGGCACGTGCCTGTGGTCTCAGCTACTCAGGAGGTTGAGGCAGGAGGATCACTTAAGCCTGGAAAATTGAGGGCTATAGTTAGCTATGATTGTGCCACTGCACTCCTGCCTGAGCAACAGGGTAAGACCCGGTCTCAAAAAAATAAAAATGAAAACTGTTCTTAGCGGCAGGCTGGACTGAGTCCCTGGGCAGTCATTTGCCTACTTCTGATTTAACAATCTCTTGTATGGAGTTTACTATGTAATAGGCATTGTTTTAAGCACTTTACAAATATTCAGCCATCTAATCCTCACAACAACCTTATGAGGTAGGTTATTATTCTCCCTTTATAGATTAAACAAACAACAAAAAAGAGGCACAGAGAGGTTAAGTAACTTGTCCAAGGTCACACAGCAAGTGAGTGGTAGAGTCATGATTTGCACTGCGTGGTCTGGGTTTAGTCCACACTCTTGGTTGCTAGGCTGGGCCACGTCTCCCTGTGCAGATGGGGTGAATTCCTTCTATTCTCTTATGCAAAATAAGGAGGAAAATCCTGCCCCACCTCTAAGACTATTTGGTGAACAGGGCCAGGTGGTCTCTGCCCTCATAGGACACTCGCTGTAATAGAGCAGCTGGGTGCGAATAACAGAAACACAGAAACCACGGAGAATCACACCTCCCAAAAAGTGCCGTGTGTGCAAAGAACGTGCAAGGGTGGGCAGAAGCGTCATGCAAACTGAGAAGTGCTGATGGCAAGAGGTGCGGATGGCGGTGGGAAGGAGGAGGGGAAGAAGGGTTGTCTGGCGGGCTGACTGCTCTCCCTTGCCACCTCCCGCCCATCCAGCCTCACTTGCCTGCCGATAAGGCCCGGGGTGCACAGGGCCCTGAGCAACAGCACCTGCTGACCACAGTGCCGAGCTCCAGCAGCAGCTCCCTGGAGAGCTCGGCCAGCGCGTTGGACAGAAGGGCGCCTACTCGGAACCAGCCACAGGCACCAGGCGCGGAGAAGGCCAGTGGGGCTGGGGAGGCCCGGGCCAGCACCGGGAGCTCAGGTAAGAGGTGGGAGCACACCTGGCTGCATCCCGACCCTCCTTGGTCTTTCTCACCTGGTTTCTGTCTTAGCCATCTCCTCCTGAGCCTCCCCGCAGAGTGGGACGAGGCCTGAGCCACAGGAAACTTCCTTTGGTTTGCTGAACCCAAGTTCCCTCCCGCCTTTGCCCGTGCTGGGCCTATCACCTGAACATCCTTCCTTCTGTGGGACAACCCCAGCTTGTCCAAGTCCCCAGTATCTGGGAGAGGAGTTTTCCTGAAACCCCATCCCCACCACCCCCCCAGCTGGACCGGCTGCTCTTCCGGGCTCACCACGCACTGGCCTCCCTTTGACAGGACTGTCAGGCTGCGTGTACACTGTCTTTTCCTCTTGTCTCCCTCACCAGTTTGTGGGACACCTGGTGAGCCTGGATCACCTCGTTCATCCCTGTATCCGCAGGCCCAACACGGCCCAGCTACTAATAACTAATCACAACAATCGCTTCTACTTACGGAAGGCTACGGTACAGCAGCGCTAAACCGGGCACTTTACATACATCAAATTGACCTGCACGTCAACGCTGAGAGATAGTTATTGTTGTTATCCCATTTTACAGATGAGGAAACTGAGCCCCAGGGAGGTTAAACAGCTTCTTCAAGGGCTCACGGCTAGTAAACAGAAGAGCCAGACTCACCACTAGGCTGTCAGGCTCCTCAGCCCTGGGGTTGGCAGAGGAATGGGCTCCACTTACTGCAGCTTGTTGCTGGGTCTCTTTGGGTCTGAGACGCTGGGACTGTGGGGATCGTGTCCCATTAATGCAGGCTGCATTTTGCCCTGGACCTGGTCTATGACAGATGTCACTCCTGGCTGGCGTCTCTAGGGCCCACACTGGAGGGGCCCCTGTACGGGGTCTGCTGGCCTGTGCCTCTCTCCCTCTTACCTGGCAGCTCCAGCCACTGAGAATTCAGGGAGTGACCATGAACTTGGGTCAGTCTCAGATCCCTGCCCGGCCACTCTGGTGCCATAAGAATTTGGGCGGGATGCTTAACTCTGCCAAGCCTTGGTTTTTTCACCTAGAGATGAGCTATGGTGCCTCCTTGCCAGGGCTGGTGAGAGATGAGTGACATTGTGCTCAGCTGGGCACCAGACCAGGATCAGGCTGCCTCTGGGCCGCCTCCAGGTGGGACTGATGGCTGCAGCCCCCACCACACAGCCTCACTCACCCCCGGCTCTCCCCAGCTTGCTGCGCCCCTGCCTCCTGCCTGCGCTCATGCCACCCCTGCCTGCAACACCTGTTCCTACCTGTCCCCAGCTGCCCACAGGAGCTGCCTTGCCCATTTCTGTTTGCCCCATCATAGCCCCCAGCGTCCTCGGTGGGACGTCCCATCAGTGCCCCTCACTCCAGCCTGAGAACTCCCTGTGGGAGGACCTGGGTCAGTGCCCGGAAGAGAGCAGGGACCCTAAACATTGTTAAATGAGTGTGCTCTGATGATAAACTCGGAGTCTTGCCCAGTTCTTGGATTCGTCTTTCTGATTTTTTTTTTTTTTTTTTTGAAATGGAGTCTCGCTCTGTCACCCAGGCTGGAGTTAAGTGGCGCAGTCTTGGCTTACTTCTCTGCTCACTGCAGCCTCCGCCTCCCAGGTTCAAGTGATCCTCCCACCTCAGCCTCCTGAGTAGCTGGGATTACAGGCATGTGCCATCACGCCTGGCTAATTTTTGTACTTTTAGTAGAGATGGGATTTCACCATGTTGGCCAGACTGGTCTCGAAATCCTGACCTGAGGTGATCCATCTGCCTCGGCCTCCCAAAGGGCTGGGATTACAGGCGTGAACCAACACACCCGACCCCTCTTTCGGATTTCTTTGCTACACCTGGTGTGGCTCTCTCCTTGGCCCAGAGTGGAGCCCTGACCATGTCTGCCCTCCCTTCTCACCTCTGCCCCTTCTGCTCTGTGCTCCTTCTCCCGAGTCCCCCAACCCATTTCCCTGGCCTCTGCCCTCTACATCTCTCCCTCCCACCCCTAACACCTCCCTCCACTGTGGGAACCTGTAAACCCCAGGGTTGTGCCCCTTCGTGGTCCCCCATCCACCCCCGCAATGTCTCATGCTCGATGTGCAAAGGCCATGGTGACTTTGGGTGACATTTGGGTGCCGTGGAGGCTCAGGGTGGAAATTTCCTTCCGGCCCTGTGATTTCAGCCCTCCTCCCCCACCCTCTGCTCGGAGGCTGTTTTGAGCACAGCAGGCTGCCAGCTCCATCCGCCTCCCGGCTGCCCTAGTAGTTAGAGTTAGGGGGAACCAGGCTGGGGTGAGGGCACTCAGCAGGCCTCTGCAGCAACAGTAGCAGCAATGTTCATTTCCTGAGGGGGCTACTGTATGCCAGTCCCCTCACATTCATCTCAGCAAACCCACCATCCTGTGTCTCCCCAACCAGTTAGAAAACTCAGCCGCCCGCAGAGGCTGGGCGGGAAGGTGAGGCAAACCTTGGGCTCGCCTTGTCCAAATCTCCTGCATCTGGCTCCCAAGGGAAGCCATAAATCCAGATTTTTAAATGTAAATGCCTGAATTTTAAATGTTGGTAATCAAATTCACTTAAAAACATCACCACCACCACCACCACCACCACCACCACCAACAAAAAACTCCGTAGACTTGTCCCTGTTACAGGCAGTAGGAACACAGCAGGGAACGATCAAAATGTTCCTGGTCTGGCCAGGCAAGGTGGCTCATGCCTGTAACCTCAGTACTTCAGGAGGCCAAGGCGGGAGGATCACTTGAGCCCTGGAGTTCGAGACTAGCCTGGGCAACATAGCAAGACCCCTATCTCTATTAAAAAAAAAAAAAAAAAAAATTCCGTACCCTCCTGGGCTGAGAGTCTGGTTGGCGACCCCAGGAGCTGGGGGCCCTGGAGATCACAGAAATGGGGAGGGACCCAGAGAGTGGTGGATAGGATGGGAAGTAAATGTCCCTAGAGAGGGAGGCCAGGGAGCGGGGGGCGCTTCATGGAGGATGTGGCCTTTGAGCTAAGACCTGAGCACTAGAGAAGGGTTCTCTAGGCTGAGGGAGCAGCCTGTGCAAAAGCCCAGGGGACCTGAAGGGCTCAAGGGGCTGTAGCAGGGGGGAGTGTGGCTGGAAGGAGCCCCATCAAGGTCTTGGAGCCGCAGGAGAAGGGGCGGGAGAAGGCAGGCTCCGGATCAGACAGGGCCTGGTAGGCTGTGGGGAAGACTGTGGGTTTTTGAGCCCCCAAGGAGGTGATCTGCCAAGTTCAAGGGCCAGCTCTGGCTGCTGATGGGAATCAGATTTCAGGGGGGTGGGGTCGAAGCCTGTTCACAGCCATCCAGATGGGAGTGGGTGGAGGCTTCCATAGCTCACTGCACCATGCAGCAGCAGGGCCGGTGACCCTTGCAGAAGTCATCTTTTGTTTTTGTTTTTGAGATGGAGTTTTGCTCTTTCGCCCAGGCTGGGGTGAAGTGGCGTGATTTCGGCTCACTGCAACCTCCACACCCTGGGTTCAAGTGATTCTCCTGCCTCAGCCTCCCGACTAGCTGGGATTATAGGCACTTGCCACCATACCCGGCTAATTTTTTTTTTGTGTGTGTGTGTGTGTGTTTTGAGTAGAGATGGGGTTTCACCATGTTGGCCAGGCTGGTCTCAAACTCCTGACCTCAGGTGATCCACCTGCCTTGGCCTCCCAAAGTGCTGGGATTACAGGCGTGAGCCACTGTGCCTTGCCCAGATGTCATCTTTTGAAGGGAGACAAGGCAGGAATGACGGACGGGTGTGTGATATGAGAGAAAGACGGGTCCGAGGCTCTGGGCCCAAGCAGCTGGGTGGATGGCAGCAATGAGAACAGTGATGAGGAGGAGCGGGTTGGATGGGAGATGGGAGTAGAATCAAGAGTTAAGTTTGAGGCCGAGCACAGTGGCTCACACCTGTAATCTCAGCACTTTGGGAGGCCAAGGCAGGCAGATTCCTTGAGGTCAGGTGTTCGAGACCAACCCAGGCAACCTGGCAAAACCCCGTCCCTACAAAAAAATTAGCCGGGTGCAGTGGCCTGTAGTCCCAACTATTCAGGAGGCTGAGATGGGAGGATCACTTGAGGCCTGGAGGCAGAGGTCACAGTGAGTTGAGAGAGTGACACCGCACTCTTTTGAGAGCCTGTCTCAAAAAAAAAAAAAAAAAAAAAGACAGAAGAGACAGGGTCTCACTATATTGCCCAGTCTGGTCTTGAACTCCTGGGCTCAAGCAATCCTACAAACTTGGCCTCCCAAGTAGATATCTGTTTTATATCATTGGCTCCTCCCATCTCTGGGGTGATTGGGGCTGGGTAGGTGGTGATGCTATTCTTTTTTTTTTTTTTGAGACGGAGTCTCGCTCTGTCGCCCAGGCTGGAAGGCAATGGCCGGATGTCACCTCCCTGCAAGCTCCGCCTCCCGGGTTCACGCCATTCTCCTGCCTCAGCCTCCCGAGTAGCTGGGACTACAGGCGCCCGCCACCTTGCCCGGCTAATTTTTTGTATTTTTTAGTAGATACGGGGTTTCACTGTGTTAGCCAGGATGGTCTTGATCTCCTGACCTCGTGATCCGCCCGTCTCGGCCTCCCAAAGTGCTGGGATTACAGGTGTGAGCCACCGCACCCGGCCGGTGATGCTATTCTTATTCAGCAGATAATGAGGCACATGCAGGTTAAGTGACTTGCCCAAGGTCACACAGCAGAGCTGGGCTAGAATCTCGGTCTCTTGGCTCCTGGCCCAGTGCTCTTTCCCATGTGTCTGAATCTGCATCTTGGGCAGGGGTCTCAGGGCCCCACTCCCGGACCCCTGGACTGATCCCCACCCCATCTTGTGCTTAGCAGATTCTTCCCCTGGTGGCCATGGGACCCAGGTCAATGTCACCTGCATCGTGAATGTCTGTAGCAGCTCTGACCACAGCTCACAGTGCTCCTCTCAAGCCAGCTCCACGATGGGGGACACAGATGCCAGCCCCTCGGGTTCCCCGAAGGACGAGCAGGTCCCCTTCTCCAAGGAGGAATGCGCCTTTCGGTCACAGCTGGAGACGCCAGAGACCCTGCTGGGGAGCACTGAAGAGAAGCCCCTGCCCCTTGGCGTGCCCGATGCTGGGATGAAGCCCAGTTAACCAGGCTGGTATGGGCTGTGTCGTAGCCAAGGCGGGCTGAGCCCTGGCAGTATGACCCTGCGAAGGGGCCCTGGTCCTTCCAGGTCCCCACCACTAGGACTCTATGGCTCTTTCTGGGCCAAGTTCCTTGAGTGCCCTCCACAGCTGCAGCCTCCTTCTGACTTGCAGACCGAGAGCAGAGGCAGTGAGTTGTGGAAAGCCTGTGCTGCCACGGCGTGTCCCTCTCGGAAGGCTAGCTGGGCACGGACGTTCGGGGCACGCTGGGGCAAGTCCCTGACTCACTGTGGCCTGCCCCGCCCAGCTGGACCTGCGAGCTTTGGCTTCTGGAGCCCTCAGGATTTTTGTTTGTTTATGTCTCCCCTGGGCTCTGACCCAGCTCTGGCTTCCAGAAAACCCCAGCATCCTTCTCTGCAGAGGGGCTTTCAGGAGGGATGCTGCCTGAGTCACCCATGAAGACGGGACAGTGCTTCAGCCTGAGGCTGAGACTGCGGGACAGTCCCAGGGCTCTGTGCAGGGAGGAGGTGGCAGCCCTGTAGGCTGTAGGGGTCCTTCAGGTTAGCTCAGGAGGCCTGGAAAGCATCACCTCAGGCCGGGTGTAGTGGCTCACGCCTATGATCCCAGCACTTTGGGAGGCCGAGGTGGGTGGATCACCTGAGGTTAGGAGTTCAAGACCAGCCTGGCCAACATGGTAAAACCCCATCTCTACTAAAAATACAGAAATTAGCCGGGCGTGGTGGCAGGCACCTATAGTCCCAGCTACTCAGAAGGCTGAGGCAGGAAAATCGTTTGAACCCTGGAGGCGGAGGTTACAGGGAGCTGAGATCGTGTCACCGTACTCCAGCCTGGGAGACAGAGCGAGTGTGTCTCAAAAAAAAAAAAAAAAAGAAGAAGAAAGCACCACCTCCAAATGCTAACTTGTCCTTTTGTACCATGGTGTGAAAGTCAGATGCCCAGAGGGCCCAGGCAGGCCACCGTATTCAGTGCTGTGGCCTGGGCAAGATAATGCACTTCTAACTGGAAATCTGCCAGTTTTCTAAAACGGTAAGTACCACGCTGGCCAACAAGCCAATGACAAACAAAGCCAAACTCTGCCCGCCACATCCAACCCCCTACCTCCCATCTGCACCCTCCGCCTTCACTCCGGTGTGCCTGCAGCCCCGCCCCTCCTTTCTTGCTGCCTGGTGTGGTGTCCTAGGCCACACCATCTCCTTTCAGGGAATTTCAGGAGCTAGAGATGACTGAGTCCTCGTAGCCATCTCTCTCCTCCTACCTCAGCCTAGACCCTCCTCCTCCTTCCTGAGGGGTGGGTTCTTCTTCCCCACTCCCCACCCTCAATTCCCTGGCCCCAAGCGGGCTGCCTCGCCACTTTGGTACATGGCCAGTGTGATCCCAAGTGCCAGTCTTGTGTCTGTGTCTGTGTTGCGTGTTGTGGGTGTGTGTAGCCAAGGTCGGCAAGTTGAATGGCCTGCCTTGAAGCCAGTGAAGCTGGGATTCCTCCCTGTTAGAGTCAGCCTTCCCCCTCCTCTCCCCAAAACATGCCCAGGGCCCTGCAGAGGGGGAACCCGTGTAGCCTTGCCTGGATTCTGGGAGTAAGCAAGTTGAGGGGCTCTTGGAAAGGCTGGCTCAGTCTCAGGTGCATGGGGATAAAGGAGAAGGCATGAACTTACCTAGAAGAGTGGGGGCAGGGTGATAAATTGTTGATAAATTCCACTGGACTTGAGCTTGGCAGCTGAACTATTGGAGGGTGGGAGAGCCCAGCCATTACCATGGAGACAAGAAGGGTTTTCCACCTTGGAATCAAGATGTCAGACTGGCTGGCTGCAGTGACGTACACCTGTAATCCCAGCTAATCAGGAGGCTGAAGGGAGGTTCACTGGAGCCCAGAAGTTTGAGGCTGCAGTGAGCTATGATCGCGCCACTACACTCCGGCTTGGGCAACAGAGTGAAACCCTGTCTCTTAAGAAAGTCAGACTGCCAAGGCTGGCCAGGTTTCTGCCCACATTGGACCCACACGAGAACGCGATGGAGTGCACCTGCCCCCTGGTGGACAGTCCTGGGAGAACCTCGGGCTTCCTGGGCATCACTGGGCAGAGCCAGGAAGCGATGAATTTGGAGACTGTGGAGCCTCAGTTCCCTTGCGTGTGTTGATCCTGAGACAATGAGAGTTTGCACTGTATGCTGGACAGCATTCCCGCTTATCAATAAACCTGTTTGTTTTTCATGTCGACCCCTGGCTCTTCCTGGGGTCTGGGCTTGGGTTTGTCCGTGGTCCTGCTTGTCTGCCACCCCTGTGTAAGGGGAGATGGTGTCATGGTCCCTGGGGTCTGGCCAGCCCCTGTTGTGACTGGACCACAGAGGGTCCCCTGTTACAGCCGCCCCCTCAAGCCTGTGAACAATAAGAGAACTTCCTGCTCAGGACCGCACAGCTGGCTGGGTTCCAAGTGTGCCCTGGTCTCATGCCCTCGTCCCCCGGGTCTCCTGGGCCTCCTCTCAGGACTGGGGTGGGGTCTCTGCAGATCCCTAGCAGCCTAGGAAGCCAGGCTCTGCCCTCCTGGGGACCCCACTCGGGGAGAGTGGGTGCCCCTGGGATGCTCAGACCGGTACAGGGCTTTGGGGGCACAGAGAACATCCCTGGGTCCAGGTAGGAGGTCAGAACAGGGTTCTAGAGATGACCTCTGACCTCCTCCTGAGGGATGAGCAGCAGTTTTCTAGAACAAAGGATTGCAGGGAACTGTCAGGCCAAAGGAGTTCTGAGTTTAAAGGCCTTAGCCTGGCTGACATGATGAAACCCCATCTCTACTAAAAATATAAAAAATTAGCCGGGCATGATGGTATGCGTCTATAATCCCAGCTAGTCAGGAGGCTGAGGCATGAGAATCACTTGTATTGAGGAGACAGAGGTTGCAGTGAGCTGAGATCGGGCCACTGCACTCCAGCCTGGGTGACAGAGTGAGAGAGTCCATCTCCAAATAAATAAATAAAATTAATTAATTAAAATAAAGCCTTGGAGGGGAGAGAGACCTTGGCCTGTGTCTTGGTTCCACTGATCCCCTGGGTCACCATCGTCACTCCAGCTCCTGTGACTCCCTCAGTGGGACCATTTTCGTTCTTGGTGATTGCAGGATCTGTGATTGATGGAACGCCCTGCCTCCTGGCTCCTCGCCCTCTTCTCCTCCGTGGTCCTGTCCTCCAGCCTGTCTCAGTCACTCAACCCTTGACCAGGGCTCCCCACACTTATTCCATAAAGAGCCAGGGAGCAAATGTGATTTTTGAGACAAGGTCTCACTCTGTCACCCAAGCTGAAGTATGATCGTGACTCACTGCAGCCCTGACTTCCTGTCTCAGCCTCTTGAGTAGCTGGGACTACAGGCATGGACCACTATGCCCAGCTAAATTATTTATTTATTTTTATTTTTTTGGAGTGGGGGGGTTTCCCTGTGTTGCCCAGGCTTGTCTCGAACTCCAGGGCTCAAGTGATCCACCGGCCTTGGCCTCCTAAAGTGCTGGGATTGCAGGCATGAGCCATTGTGCCTGACCAGAATAAATATTTCACACTTGGCAGGTCTTACAGCTTCTGCAGTTGTGCTGTTCAACTGTGCTGTTGTAGTGTGAAAACAGCTGTGCACAGGACGTAAAAGAACGGGCAGGAGGCGGATGTGGCCTTCGGGATGTAGGCAGGCTAATGCCTTAGACCCTGGTATTATTGATAACTGCACCCTAATGTCAATTTCAAGCATCCCACTTTCCCCCACCCCTACTTCCTCCTGTCTTTCTCCCTCACTGGCACCTGCAGCTGTTGGTTACATTTTCTCCCTTGTGCGCACCTACAACACTTTCTCCTGGTTTGTTCTCGCTCTGGTTGAACCCAGCACTCTGTTTGTGCCACACCTGCACCTCTGCACCTGGATGGGGCACGATGATGGCATTCCACCATGCTGGCTGGTCGCATTTTCATTTCATGATCATTAGACGTGGCCGGGCACGGTGGCTTACGCCTGTAATCTCAGCACTTTAGGAGGCTGAGGTGGGTGGATTGCTTGAGCTCAGGAGTTCAAGACTGGCCTGGGCAACATGGTGAAACCTCATCTCCACGAAAAAAAATACAGAAGCTAGCTGGGTGTGGTGGCATGCACGTGGAGTCCCAACTACCCATGCGTCTTCAGTGGGAGGATTGCTTGAGCCCAGGAGGCGGAGGTTGCTGTGAGCTGAGATCTTGCCACTGCACTCCAGCCTGGAGGATGGAAAAAAAGAATAAATTTTATGGGGGTCCTTGGTGCTGCCCAGCAGTGACAACAGGTCCCCTACCCGATATATTAGTTCCTATTGCTGCTATAACAAACCACACAAACTCAGTGACTTAAAACAATACAATTGCATTCTCCTACAGCTCTAGGAGTCAGAAGTATAAAAGCAAGGTGTCGCCAGGCCTGTTAGGCTCAAATGGGGAATTTGTTTTTGGAGGCTTTAGGGGAGAATCTGGTTCCTTGCCTTCAGCTTCCAGTGGCACCTGCATTCCTTGGCTTATGACCCCTTTGTCCGTCTTCAGAGATAGCAATGGAGTCTCTTCAGTAGTCAGATCTCCTTCTGCCTCCCAATTATAGGGACACCTGTAATCACAACGGACCACCCAGATAATCCAGGACACTCTCCTTGTCTCAGTGTTTTGGCCAGGTGGCAGGAATTCAGACATCAACGTCTTTGCAGGGGCAAAGACAACTATTGGTTATCCAGCCTACCAGCTCCCATTCATTCAGTCTCCCACTCTTTCTATTTATCTTTTAATTTTATTTATTTATTTATTTTTTTGCAATGGAGTCTTGCTCTGTCGCCCAGGCTGGAGTGCAGTGGTGTGATCTCAGCTCGCCGCAAGCTCTGCCTCCCGGGTTCAAGCGATTCTCCTGCCTCAGCCTCCCAAGTAGCTGGGATTATAGGTGCATGCCACCATGCCCAGCTAATTTTTGTATTTTTAGTAGAGAAAATACAACTGGCCATGTTGGCCAGGCTGGTCTCAGACTCCTGACAGGTGATGCACCCACCTCGGCCTCCCAAAGTGCTGGGATTACAGGCCTGAGTCACTGCACCCAGCCTATTTTATCTTTTAAATAAAAGGATTAATTGAGGTTTTTGTTTGAGACTGAGTATCACTCAGTGACCCAGGCTGGAGGGCAGGAGCATAATCACAGTTCACTGCAGCCTGAAACTCCTGGGCTCAAGTGATCCTCCCACCTTGGCTTCCCAAAGTGTTGGGATTATAGGGATGAGCCACCATGCCTTACCTTGCTCTTCTAGATGGACTATTTCATGTGTTCTCCTTTATCCCCAAACCTCTGTCCTCACCCCACCCTTACCTTCAGTTGGTTACCTTGCTGTCTATTTCACTGAGAAAATAAAACAAACATAAGGGAATGCTTCATGCTTGCCTCACCACATCTCCCTCACCCTGTGAGGCCCACAACCCTGGCCTTTGCCGTGACTGGGTCTGAGGATGGTTCCTCCTCTGCACGGGATCTTAGCATCTCTCCTGGCTCAAGGACATTGCTTCAGCGAGTCTTCTGTCTCTTTCCTTCAGCCTCCATTTCTGTGGCTCCTGGATCTTTCGTGTTGCATATAGACACACTGAGGCTCCTCCCATGTGCTGAACAACCTCACACCCATTAGGACGACTGCTATCAAAAACCCAGAAATTAGTGTTGGTGAAAATGTGGAGAGATGAGGAGAGTGCACAGGGGTCCAACTGCTATGGGATACAGTGTGACAGTGACTCAAAACATGGAACATAGAATTACCATCTGATCCAGCAAGTCCACTTGTGGGTGTCTCCCCCAAAGAATTGAAAACAGAGTCTCAAACGGATATTTGTACAGCTGTGTTCCTTGTTCATAATAGCCAAAAGTGGAAACAACCTAGGTGTCCAAAACGTGGAACGGATAAACAAAATGTGGTCTACAGCCTGGGCGCAGTGGCTCACACCTATAATCCCAACACTTTGCGGGGCTGAGGTGGGTGGATCACCTGAGGTCAGGAGTTCGAGACCAGCCTGGCCAACATGGTGAAACCCCATCTCTACCAAAAATACAAAAATTAGCCTGGAGTGGTGGCACATGCCTGTAGTCCCAGCTACTCAGGAGGCTGAGACAGGAGAATTGCTTGAACCCGGGAGGCAGAGGTTGCAGTGAGCCGAGGTCGCGCCACTGCACTCCAGCCTGGGTGACAGAGCGAGACTTCATCTCAAACAAAAAAAAAAAAAAAAAAAAAAAAAAAAGTGGTCTCCAATGGAATATTCAACTTGAAAAAGGAAGGAAATTCTGACAGGTGCTGCAACCTGGATGATCCTTGAGGACAAGGATCCCTTGTCTCTTAAACTAAGTGAAATAAACCAGTCACAAAAGGACAAATTCTGTGTGTTTCCCGTACATGAGGTACCTAGAGTAGTAGGATTCATAGAGATGGAAAGTAGGGTGTTGGTTGCCAGAAGCTAGAAGAGGGAATGGGGAGTCAGTGTTTAAAGGGTGCAGCGTTTCAGTTTTTTGAAATGAAGAGTTCTAGGCCAGGCATGACAGCTCACGCCTGTAATCCCAAAACTTTGGGAAGCCAAGGTGCGTGGATTGCTTGAGCTCAGGAGTTCGAGACTAGCCTGGGCAACGTAGTGAGACCCTGTCTCTATGAAAATGAGCTTGGCGTGGTGGCATGCACCTGTAGTCCCAGCTACTCAGGAGGCTGAGGCGGGAAGACTGTGAGTCCAGAAATTCGAGGCTGCAGTGAGCCATGACCTGTGCCACTGCACTCCAGCCCGGGTGACAGAGTGAGACCCTGTCCAAAAAAAAAAAAAAAAAAAAGTTCTGCGATGGATCGTGGTGATGGTTGTACAACAATGTGAAATTACTTAATGCCACTGAACTACACGGTTAATAATGGTCAAGATGAGAATTTTTAAACAAACACCAAAAAAGCAACAACTACAAAAAGATGATAAAAATGTTGTGGGAGGCTGAGGCGGGTGGGTCACCTGAGGTCAGGAGTTCGAGATCAGCCTGGCCAACATGGCGAAACCCCGTCCCTACTAAAAATACAAAAATTAGCCGGGTGTGGTGGCAGGCACCTGTAATCCCAGCTACTTAGTAGGCTGAGGCAGGAGAATTGTTTCAACCTGGGAGGCAGAGGTTGCAGTGAGCCGAGATCGCACCATTGCACTCTAGCCTGGGAGAGAAGAGTGAAACTCCATCTCAA